GTGGAATGTTGCTGTGTGCCTTGTATTGTGTGTTCTGTGTTTTAAGGTCATTAACAGTGCAATTTGCCCTGATCAAGAGGACAGTATCCCAATTGAGTCTGAAGGATGTTGGAGAGGACCAAAAAACCATGTGATATTCCGTTGCTCTGAGTGGTGACCTCTTAGGAGAGGTCAAAAGGGGGAAATGAAGGCTGTATCAAGTGGTGGTTTGAATATTGTTTAATGAAGTTACACATTGAGTTGAAGCTTAAACACTGAGATCTTATCTGTTGAACAGTACCATTGTGCTTACTACATAATGGGTAACCTATGTGCTTCTAAGCAAATTCCTTTGCAGAAGTGGGACTGTGGAGACAACTGTTGGAGGGGGTTGTCACAAATTCTTTTAGAGAACTAGGACTGTGGAGATAACCAGCTGGCTTATCTAAACAGACTTGGTGTGATTTACAATGCTTTGGAGGGGGTTGTCACTTCCCCCAAAGAAGAAATGCTGACACTTCAAGGTGGCGATTCAAGGCGGGAACCTGCTCAACATATTATATGCATATTCATATGGATGTTTATAAAAAACTGTTTTGAAGTATTCAGAAGGGGTCAGATGCCTGATGTAAGCCCTATGTAACTTTGTAGGCAGTTAGGGACAACGATCTGACCCAGAGCTCTGTATTAGAATTGAATTGTCAGGGGAATACATTTTTGTAACTTAAATTGACTGAGTCTAGTAATTTTTGATAGAACACACCTAACAGACTTCAGGATTCAGCAACTGTGTCTCTGCTCAAAACATGCACTTTTCTTTAGATTTGATAGTATCTATCTTTAAACACTGTAATGCAAACACAGACTGCATAAAAGAAGAGGCCTAGGCTAAGGGAGTCTGATGTCATCTATAGATGACAGCTCCAGTAAAGCTCACCGAGGCTATGAGTTATGGGAGTGAATTTTAAGCAGAGTTCAATATTAGGAACAGAAAAAATACCAATAAATTAAAAACACCAGGGTCAAGTAGAGTGGGTTAATATGAACATTTTAAAACCAAAATGAGGAACCTGAAAGCAGCACAACACAGAGCGAGGCAACATTTCCTCCCCTCACAGCAGCTGCGGCTTCACAGTTTATTGTTCTTGTCTCTCAGTGGCCCTCTGAAATAGTGATACATTCCAGGTGTTAGGCATGTTCTATCAAAAATAACGACTGGAATCGATCGATTAAAAGCACAAAGAATTTATTCCCTATTTAATACAATTCTGATACAGAGCTCTGGGTCAAATCGCTGCCCCTAATGGCCTACAGTTACACAGGACTTAAAACAGGCGATCTGAACACCTGTGTTTCCCTCAACCCAGAAATATAAAACAACAGTATGAATATACAAATGATATGTTGAGCAGGTTAACGCCTTGGATCCTCCCTGAAGAGGAGATGAAGCCAAGTTTAAATTTCTGTCAAGTCTATTGCAGCTGCTCTGCAGTGAATTTCTTTAAAAGTACACAACCTTCATCTCTGCAAAGGGATTACCTTAAAAGTATATGTTTCACACAGTAGTATCTTTAAATATATATAAGATTTCAGTGTTTGAGCATTAACTTAATGCGGAACTTCATTAAACAATATTCAAACAAATATACAAATTCAATGTTTAATATGCACATGTGATGCTCAAGAAGCTTCACCATTTGATACAGCCTTCACAGGCAAAGAAATGTATTTATTCTCTATACCAGATCTGGGCATTGTACAGTTCCCTTTGGTTCACTCTGACTGGCCCGTTTAAAATAATCTGGAATTACAAGAAAAATATATTTTATAATTTAACCTCATGCATGGACAAAAGCTGCATTGCTTTTATTTTAGAGGTGTTTTTAAATGACTTTTTTTGTAAGGCAATCTGACTTTTTCATTGCTGGGTTATAACACAGCAGTCTCCAATTTGTAGCTCAGGAGCTACTGGTAGCTCTCCACCCCCTTCCAAGTAGCTCCCCAAGGGATTTCTGCGTTACACATATTGTGCTGAATAAGTAAAATTTGATTAATTAAATGCATTTTGCCATCAAACATGTATCATTCTGATGCCTAACTTTTATGTTAGGCAATGTTTATGTTTGATAAACATCTAACTGTACCTTATGTAAGGCTCGCTGTAGCTCTTATATTTGCTCAATTTCTTGTGATCACTAAAACTAGTAGCTCTTTGGCATTTTTGTTTTGTAAAAGTATCTCACCAGAGGAAAAAGGTTGGAGACCCCTGCACTAAATTGACTCTTGTGAGCTTTAAGTGATGACCTTTAATGTTGTTACCTGTTGGAATGAATGATTATTTTATCACTGCTTAATGTTTTAATCATCAGGGGCCTCATTTATAAAGCTTGCTTATGCAAATCCTTGCATATGCGCTCTCTACGCCAACCGCGGTATTTATGAACCTCGACTAAAGCGTGGCGCTTTGCTTGACTCTACGCCAACTCGGGACCTCCTGTAAGCACTACGCAAAGTCTGGAGACACGGGGAAAAAGAGACACTCGTGGAGAGGAGCAGAAGTGAACAGAGTTTGAGGAAGTGTTTGATCAGAAAATCCAAGTATATAGAAGAATTACTTTCAGATTTGTGCATTTAAGTGTTTGGTTCGCCAAAACAGGGAGAAGGGCTGTTTATTCCACTCATTATTCTCCACAGTATTATACACTTGCTGCGGCGCGCAGCGTTTACGGCTAAAGGCTAATAGCGGTAGTTTCTTTACTAGCTAGTAGTTATGGGTCGGTCGCTGGTCGGTCGCGAACGAAGCGACTCTTAGAGCCGGCTCTTTGAAGCGAACAACGGGAGCCTGCTCCTTATTGGGAGCCGTGTTTTCTCTTTCTCTCACTTTTTTTCCCTTCACGTCGCGTGCAGACTCGTGGTAGTTTGACAGCGGCAGCGGCTCAAAACGAAATTTTCAGAAATCTGCGTGTGCATAGGAGAAAAAAAACGTGCATATTTGGCTGTAGTTCAGCATAAAATAAATAAACCAGGACTAATCTTGGGCTCGAGAGATGGAGAGAGATAGAAACTGAGTCCTGACACTAAGTCCTTTTTCAGTTTTGGCTTTGACCTGCTTTTGACCTGCTTTTGACCTGGTTTAGTCCTGCTTTAGACCTGGTTTAGTCCTGCTTGCAACAAAACAATCTGAAGAGCCGTTTGGGAGCCGAAAGAGCCAGCTGCTTTTAGTGAGCCGAGCCAAAAGAGTATGTTCTCTAAAAACTGGAATACTGTTATAGAATTTTTGTGTTATGAGACATTCAGTCATTTAAAGTATGAATCTATGTTTAATCGTTGTACATTATAAGATTATCAAAATTGCTTTGTGTTGTGGGTTTTTTCGGAAGGTTCAATGCGTGTCCTAAAAAGAAGCACAGGAGATGGAGAATCCGAGAGAACAGGCCACTTTATTTCAGCATTTCCATTGAGAGAGATTCAAGTTGATTACCAAGTACAACTGCCACCCCGGACGACGTCTCTGACCAACTCAAAATCAGGGGTAGCTTTATACTACATCTTGACAAAACATTAACTTGTTGATTTAGCATATACAGCAAGAAAATGAACAATACTGCTGACCCAGTACACCTTATCATGGGTGGGAACATGCCACGGGGACCACATATCTCAGTTTTTCTGCTTCGTGGCACTCAATGTACAGAAAAACATGTTATATAGACCTATAGATAGTCCTACGTGTTTTCCACCCTGTTGTCATTCCAAAGTCCATAATATTAGGTGAATTAGCATGACGAACACATAATATTTCCCACAGTGTCTTGTTCAAACTGTATGTAACTATAGAACATCAGCTGATATCTGTTGATGCCTTTGAGCTGACACGGGAACGGAGAGGCTAAGAAGGAACTGTGTGTGAACCGGGATATGAAATTGAGTGTGTAATCGGGTGCAGTGTCAGCTGTAGTCGGTTAGTCAGAGATAACAACTGAAAAACATGTCGTATAACCATGTCAAGGCTATTGTGTGATGCTTAACAATAAAACTAGTAGCTAGTAGTAACATTAGGCCGACCTACTGTCTGTAAATATGACGTAAAGAGGCAGAATAACAATAAATGTTGCCTAAATAAACCCAATTTAAAATACACTAGAGCCAAACCTAAGTTTTTTAAACTATTCAAGATTTACAGTGAATTTTTACATCACTAAGTATATCGGCTATCGGCAGCTTCAACTCCCATTATATCGGTTTCATATCGGCCACAACAAAATCCATATCGGTCGGGCTCTAATAAAAAGCCAAGCGAGAGACACCTCGGAGAGAGACTGAGACGGTAGAGCGTGGAAGACCCGGGTCCTATCTCTCCCTTGCAGTAAAATTGCATATTCTGTGTTTTGTAGTGGCTTCTTCACTTAGTTCATTTGTTTTAACAGGTGTCTGACCCTGACATTACCCCTTTAAAAACATAACCGGAGTTGTGTTTTGTTTCATTCACACATGTTTGAGTAAACCTTTATTATTAATCTGTCTACAGCCCCAAGCTGTTCTATCTTATGACATCATGAAGTAAAAGTTTAACTGAACAGCTACTTTTAACCCTTTGTTCAGTAGAGATTGTACATTCCAGGGTCAAAATCCTCCAAATTATTCTAGTGAAGGTTTAAAAACACAGTGGCGCACATCCTGTATTACCACATGATACCACAAGGTGGAACAGAGTGTTTACAGATTGAGACAAGAGCTCAGCCTAAAACCCTGCGTGGGTCTGTGTGGTAAACGTGTTTGAATGAAACAAAACACAACTCCAGGTATGTTTTTGAGAGGAAATTTCTGTGGTCATTACCAGCACATCTCAACTTTTGCAGCTAAGCCTCACTTCCTTTTAATTCAGACTGCGTGCTCTGAAGTGTGCTACAGTGCGCTTAAACTCTGCAGCATTTCCTAATTGTCTGGGTGGCGCGCAAACTTGTAACGATTTTGCAGATGCAGAGGTTAAAGGAAGCAGCAATAGATAAAATATGACTTACTTTTTTCTCCTGGCGTATTCCTTGGAGCAGCGCGTTTGCAGTAATGCGGCTGGTTAAAATGCACTTAAATTCATTTTACGGTAAAACAACATAATCTCCCACGTTTGCTTTTACGTCTTCTGTGTAATCGCAGGAATGGCATTGTGTAGAATAAGTGCTCACACCTCATGTCTGAGAGAGTGGGTGTGTCTATGTTTATTGGGTCGCGCCCATCAGGCTCATGGTTTGTTCTGATTTAAATCATGCGCTAAACCTCCATAACGCGTGGCTTATTGTTGTTTAAAGGTTTTATATTACACAAAATCTTATGAGATTTTAGCCATGTTATAACGCTGTTACCTCCTCAAAAATAAACCTGGAGTTATGTTTTGTTTCATTCACACATGGTTGAGTAACACTACTATTTACACTTTACTGTCTATATCTTCAAAGCTCAAAGTCCTCTGTTCCACTATGTGATGTCATTTTGTGGTAGTTTTCAAGCTCACAGCTATCTTTAACCTTTAGTTCAGTGGAGATTGGCAATTCCAGAGCTGAAATGTTCCAAGTGATTCTAGTGAAGGTGCATGGAGTTTAAAAATATAGTGGAACACTTCCTTGGATTTAGACTTAGACAAACTCCACAAGGAAAAATATTTGGGCACAGTAGTGTAAGAATTATTCTCTTTGTTGTTAACGTTTAATTTTAACCATGTTAATTCCCCATGCAAATATAGAAATTGTTCACTCAGTGTCCCTTGACATGTTGAAATTCTCTTTTGGTCACTGCCTTAAGTCAAGGTTTGATCATTCACCTATGGATATATTAGAGAGGTTAATGTTGGACTTTGAGAAGCTGACGAGGAGGCTGCAAGTGTGTGTTTGAACTCAGATAACATGTACCATTCCATGAGCTGAATCAATATTACTGTGAATTCTTTGCAAAACAAATTAATGAATAAGTTCATATTCTTCAAGATGGTCAAGTATAAAGCTGCTTACTATGCTGTACTTATTTGAGACATTTTTCTGTAAATCAACTTAATCAAGACTTGTACCTGCTTGAGCCAATAAAGAGACCTATTGTGAACTGTACCAGTTCTCCTGGACCAGAGTCCAGAGGCTGCCTCCAGAAAAAGCTGACAATAGCTCACACATCACAATATAATATTAATTCATTTTTTTTCATTCATTTTATTTGAGGAAGGCGCAACAAAATCAACAACAATAAAAAAAAATATAAATAAATATATATATATATATATATATATATATATATATATATATATATATATATATATATTTATTGTTGTTGATATATATATATATATATATATATATATATATATATATATATATATATATATATATATATATATATATATATATATATATATATATATATATGCATGTACATATTTGGGACCTGGTGCTCAAATATGTTTTTTTTTTACACCTTTGTCATTTGTATTGCATAAATATGCACACATATATAATATAATAACAAAGAGTAATATTTATATATTTAAAAACCAGGGGCCTTGTTAAGAAGCCAGGCCTGAGCTATGTGGCCTGTGTCTCACTCCTTCTAAAATAACTCTAACAATACTTAAAATATCACTTAGACAACACTTAAAATATCACTTAGACAACACTTTAAATATCACTTAAACAACACTTAAAATATCACTTAACCTTAGAAAACACCATATAACATACCCCTATACATTCATACCCCTATAAATTCATACCCCTGCTTACCCCTGCTTACCCTATCTCATAACATTTGCCAGCCACTTACTTATTCTTAACAGTACCTCAAAGCATTCAAAACATTGCAGATATTAACTTATTCACAGCAGTTCCTCAAAACATTTCTCTAGATTTAGCTTTACACCAAGCATGCTTCCTGCACACAAACATGGCAGTTACAAAAAATAATATCAAACAACCCAACCTGAAAATCAAGTTGGATGAATCAAATAAAATCTAAATAAATCATAAAATCAATTTAAAAGAAACAAGTCAGGTTAAATCAAAATAAAACAAGTAACTTATGTTAATATAGATCACAAAAATGCCTCTATCATCTAAATCAATCATTTTAAATCTTCTAATGTTCTAAAAGCTATTCGTTTAATAAAATAAAGCATTCTGAACATCTTCATCTGAATGTCAGGAGCCCCTCAATGGAATTTACGCCAAAACCTTAATCTTAATATGGTGTGGTTCGCAGGGCCGTGATTCCCAGCTGCTTGTGGAACAGCTGTAAAAGACGAGATGTAAAATTAGTTCCTTGATCAGTGAGGATTTCATCTGGGATCCCGACTCTGGAGAACAACTGAACTAGTGAACGGAGGACAGCGGGGGCAGTGATGGTGCAGAGTGGGAAGGCCTCGGGGTATCTGGTGGCATAGTCACAAATCACAAGAATGTACTGGTGACCCCGGGCACTTTTGACTAATGGGCCAACAATGTCCATTGCTATCCTGCGAAAGGGGGTGGAGATGACTGGCAGTGGATGGAGGAGAGCACGCTCTGACTTTCGGGTTGGGGCAGTCTTTTGGCAAATAGGGCAGGTAGTCCAGTAGGCCTGAATGTCCTGATACATGCCGGGCCAATAAAAACGAGCACTAACTCGCAAGTAGGTCTTATGGCGGCCAAAATGCCCAGCCCATGGAAGGGTGTGCGCAATACGCATAACCAGCTGTCTACAAGGCGCAGGGACAACAAGGCGTTTGAGAGCATTGTTACAGACATGCAACACATCATCAATCAAAGAGAACATTTCTTTACCAGTTACATTAGAATTAGCATTAGCATTACCATTGACTTTATCAAAACAGTGTTTCAGTGTCACATCCTGCCTCTGTAATTCGGCAATATTCTCTGGAACCTTCCATAGTTCATCCACATCCAATTTCTGATTCTGATCATTTAGCATTAGCTGTTTTTCAAATCGCCTCTGGCGTCTAGACTTTCTAGGCCCCTTTGTTCCCCCCTCACACAAATCATCATCTAGGTCAGGCAGGGGTTAAACACCAGTTTAGGCCTGTGACCTAGTCACCACCGGACACGAAATATTGCCAGAAGCCCCTCAATTGAATTTACGCCAAAACCTTAATCTTTCAACCGACCCGGGTGAGCTCTCCTGAGGCCGAGGGGGGGTTCACGACAGGCCTCCAACCTGTACCTCGGGAGCTACCAGTAGTTCTCCAGCCCCTTACAAGTAGCTCACCAAAGGATTTCTGAATTATACATATTGTACAAAATAACTCAAATTTGACGAATTACCACTGTAAATGTGCTATGTTAAACTTTGTCCACTAATAAATGGAATTTCATGTTTGATAGGCATCTAACTGTACATGTAAGGCTTGCCCTCTTATATCAAATACATTTCTTGCAACTGCTAAAATGAGAAACTCTCCAGCATTTTCATTTTGTAAAGGTAGTTCACCGGACGCAAAAGGTTGGAGATCCCTTATATAAATGGTAATAATAAATTCTAAATAAGTAGCAAAAATGATATCAAGAGAGAGGTGGCAAATAAGACATAATTATATAAATGTACAAAATAAAAGAAGTAATAAAATATAAAATCCCAGCTTTATACAAGAGGTCATAGGAAGACAGTGCAGCAATGATATGAAGATTGACAGGATATAGGGTTACCACCTGACATCACAAGGTGGAAGAGAGTGTTTTCAGGTTGTAAGAAAAACTCAGCCTAAATATGCAGGATTTGAGTGTTAAACATGTGTGAATGAAACAAAACACAACTCCAGGTCTGTTTTAATGAGGAAACAACATTATAACATAAATCAGAAAATAAAGGCTTTTACATAACACTCTGCTCCTTGTTGTTTAAATTAGAATATCGGCATGATGCACACAGACATAGAACAGGCCTATAATAGAGAGGCGTCATTGTTGCTTGGAAATAGCTGTGGCCCCGCTGTTGCACATTTTTGGCACCTCATCCTCCAGATCTTCGCGTGGTGGGCTACATCATAGTTTTGTTTATGTGAGCTCATCTGTCACTTTGGCTCATGTGTCACTTTGAATGTGAGAGAGCACCGTGGCCGTCAAACTGTGGGGGTTAAGAGTACGGGTACAAAGGGTCCAGAGCAAAATCTGTAATATGCAATTTCCATAGGCCATAGAAAACATGTAAAACAGGCCCAACAAGATGATTTCTACTCTGGGGCCTAGAATTATGTACTACACCCCTGGACAGCACTAACGGGGGCAAAGGTCGGACACTATTTTACCTGCAAACACAACCATCCCTCTGTTCTAGTGAATCTCCTGAGGCTGAAGTGTCCGTCTCATCACCAGAATCTCACCACTCGGCTTCTGTCACTTCACCAACAAGAGCAAACCCCAAAACAGACTTTTTTTGCTACTTATTTTGAATTTATTACTACCATTTATATTTTACTCTTTGTTATTATAATATATTGTGATATGTGGGCTACTGTGTCCAAATAATTTCCCTTGTGGATCAATAAAGTTTGTCGAAGTCTAAGTAAGTAAGTTAAAATTGCGTGACATGTTTTGCAATTATTTATTTAAAAAAATGCTTTTTAAAAATAAATATTTCTTAAAGATGCACGGAGTAACTCTTTTTTTAGGGGTCCGTCACCTGCTTGTGTCTACAGATATGTCATTGATCTGCCTGGAATGTTCCGCAGTGTGACATTAAACAGCTTTACCTTACATTTATTCAATTACAGGTGGTTTTATAGCTAACTATAGTGTCGCCTTTCCACAGATCTGTCCTGTAATTTGGTTTGGTCTCCATGATTGATAGTTTAATATCATTCTTTGAAACATTTCAGACAAAGCAATAACATCCCCACCAGAAAAGTTACACAATGCACCTTTAAATAGCACTGTGGTGGTCATTATAAACATTAACACATTGATTGAGTAGAATGAACCGAGCAGAACAGCTCGATAAAATCTAGAATTGAGTAGAAAAAATAACCCAAAAGTTGAGTTAAATTAATTTATTATAACGCATACTGCTGTGTCAGAAAAACCCAGAGCTGTGTTGACCCCACAGTGACGCAGATCCGGGTTATTTATCTACACAGGCCAGCTTAATTTTAACGCAGGTCTTTCAGCTCTGCATCACTCCACACAGTCTGAGGAGCAGGAGCACATAATGACGCCTGATTCAGATGCTTCAAACGCTTTTATGTGGCACTTTTCTCACCTGTGAACGACGTGGTGCGATTAGCGAGATGTGGTATTGTTATTGGTGTTAAAATACAGCATGATGTGTAGCCTAGAGGAGCCCATTACTATCTGCTTTTACAATGACCTGGGGGAAAGGTCAGAGTGCAGTGTTAGCACCCTGTGGTCTGCTGTGGTCTGCTGTGTAATGAATAAAGTGGTAAGGGGCACTCAAATATCTGTCTTCTCTTTTATAATCTATGTTATTATATTGTTTCCTCATCCAAGACATACCTGGAGTTGTGTTTTGTTTCATTCGCACATGTTTAACACACAAATCTATATATTTAGGCTGAGTTCTTCTCACACTCTGGTAATATACAAAGTGCTTTTAACCCTCTCAGGCTCAAATTACAATTTAGTAACAGGAAAAAATCTGATATTTGGGGAAAATGATCATATGGGGTAGTAATATATAATCCTGACTTTTTTTTTTGAAAGAGACCTTCACATCCAATGCGTTCTGGGATGTTGCAGATTTGCAACATTGGTCCGGTGTGGTAAATTAACACTGAAGACTGAAAATGATATGAACACTAACTTTATGTGTATACCACTTTTCATAACAATGAAAACATAAAGCACAGTGTAACAGTGCTTTACAGTGGCAGAACAACATCACTTTTTCCTGTGGTGCTCCAAGAAAATTTTTTTATCCCTTGTAAACAACAAAAGTACTTTGCACTTCTGGCAAGTCGTTTGTGTGTAGACATTCTTACACAGTCTGCATCGACCACGTTTATCAGCATGGATGGGGAAAAAGGCTCCTGAGTAAAAAAAGCTCATAAAATATGGATTTGGAGTAAGTAGGTAATTGGCATTTAGCTGTTGCAAATCTGCAATGTCTGCCTGGAGAGGGTTAAGCTCCATACATCTTCGCTAGAATCATTTGGATGATTTCAGCCCGGAAACTGCCCATTTCTGCTGAACAAAAGGTAAAATGTAGCGGTTAACTTCAAGGTGGAACAGAACATTCTGAGCTTTTGAGATGTAAACAGTATAACACAATGTGTCAAACAAAACACAATTCCAGTTATGTTTTTGAGGAGGTAACAACATTCTAACATGGCTTAAAGCTCACAAGAGACTGTTTTGCATCATATAGGACCTTTAAAGAGGAGGTATTACACTTCTAGGTGGTATTTATTGTTGACACATAACATTTAGAGCACCATGTTACCTTATGGTTTCGAAAATGCTATTCTTATTTATTTGCTAGATGCATATTTGAAAATAAAAGAGCTTTAGTACATCGGCCATCTGAGTGCCTTATGCATTTTTCACTTTTATCTTGCAGCTCCTTGCATTTGCACTTCTACAAGAAATTTGATGTGCATTTTCTAACTCTTTTGAAAATGCTACACTCAATGAAAACAACATATTCACATGTTTGATTAGAATTTTTCATTTTTGATGCCGTGTCCTCCCTCCCCTTGCTAAATCACTCTCCCTTCAGAGCGCCATCACAAGAGAATCAGCCTGTATTCCACTAATGAAATTACTGCACATCGCATCAGGTTTGATGGCCATGGAAATCCTGAAAAAGTCATGGAAATTGAAAATGCCATTTTCCACGCCTGGAAAAGTCATGGAATTTTGTAAATTTAATGAAAGTTTTAGAAAAGTCATGTAATTTTAGTATCTCTTTCACGCAACTACATCGTTCTGTTAAGTTATCATTAGACTATTATGATTATTTCTGAACATCTGCGCCTTTTGTTTAAAAGAGACGACAATAAATGCACTGACAGTATTTTGAATGTTAAAAAAACTATAATACCAAACCATAAGGTGGAAAGGGTTAACATTTCATATTTAGCCCTAAAAGTCTGATCAATTCTACACATGTAGGTGCGGTGAAGTCATGCCATGAAAAAGTTTTGTCATTTTGTCAGTGAAAAAGTGTGGGAACCCTGTTTGTATAAAGGACATGGGCTCGAAATCCTAACCAGAAGCAGTGTTTGAATAGAGCCCTAGAGGGTTTACAAAACCACTCAAACATGTATGGAGGACATCTGAAACCTCTTGAGGCATGTTTTTGATGAAGGAACATGGTAGACTGCTCAAAAAAGTCCAAATTGACAACATCTATTATAATATGTGCTTTTATTCACACTCTTATTAAGTTAAAATATTATAAAAGTCCATGTACTAATTTATTTATTAATTTAAAAAGTGGTAGGAGTCAACAGGGAAAACTGCTGTTAGATAGAGCCTGGGTCTCCACTACACCACAATATGACGAAAGCCAGAGAGAGCAGACCAGTGCCCAACAGATCCCCCAGCGCTGTGAGGTACGGTATGGAGTAACTGTCAGGGTCCTTCTGTCTTTGCCATAAACAGTGGACCATGTACTCCGCTATGCACAGGAGGAGGACAACCTGATGGAAAATAGTTAGAATGAGAAGCAATTAATGTTAATACCACAGCCTGCATGAAGAAATAGAGTAAGAGATGGTGATGTAGCATTTGGCTCCAGTCTAATGAAGCTCATCAAGGCTGGAAGTTATAGAAGCAAATTTGGAGCCGAGTTCCATCTTCATTTACAGTCAAAATAGCAAAATAAAAACACCAGGATAATTTAAAAGCTCGTTTTTAGACAACATTGTAATTGTAATTTTCAACACAAAGTAATCGTATTTGTTTATTCTGCCATGTTGTTCTACACTAGTTAAATTGTATGCAGTTATTTATTTCTTGTAACATAAGATAAGACAAGATAAAATAATCCTTTATTGTACCCCATGGGAGAAAATTACCTTGGGACAGGGTATCACATGCTTTATCACAAAGACAGGACAACACAACAACAAAAGCACCACACAAACATCCACCATAGGACATAAATCAATGAGAGACCAAGTAATGACCACGAGTGATACACCAACAGGACCTTTAAGTCACTCTTTACAGGCAAACCCTTCACAATCTTGTATTCTATTAACAATTGCACACTCCCTAAACCTATGTGGAGTTTTAAAGGGACAGTTCGGAATTTTAGGACATAGGACCTCATTTCCTAGTGAGCCAGAGCGTTGGAGCCGTGTGGAGACACTTTTTTAAATATTCCATCAAGTCCTTGTGTTTGCAGAGGTCACTGGGGCTAGGTTAGTCTTACCCACACCACAAAGCACCCAAAGCAAATCTATTATTACGCCAGACTGTCGATATAAATGTCTGTGTTGATAGAATAATGTTTGAAATAAAACTAACCTTGCATCGCATGAATCGTCGCACGTTGAGTGACTATTTTCTCATATATCAGTCCACTGCCATCAAGCTTTCTGTCAGGAAGTACAACTCACTGCTGCTGCTCAGACAAAAATCCTTCAAATGCAAGGTTGGTTTTACTTCTAAAATTATTCTATCGACACTGACATTTACATCGACAGTCTGGTGTAATAATAGATTTGCTTCGGGTGCTTTGTGGCGTGGGTAAGACTGTTTTTAGTGGCAGGATAACTATGGCCATTGACAGAACCAGCAACCTCTGCAAATACAGCGAATGAATGGAATATTTAAAAAAAAAAGTGTCTCCACACGTCTCCAACACTCTGGCCCACTAGGAAATGAGCCCCTGTGTCCAAAATTCTGAACTGTCCCTTTAATTGCACATTCCCCTGACCTATGTGCAGTTTTTAATTGCACATTCCCTAAGCCTTTTTACTTTTATTGTAGGGAATTTCTTGTAGAGTATCTAGTTTCCATACTCATTTTAGTATTGTTTAGTATCAGATTTTCGATCCTTTTGCCAACACAAGAAGTAATAATACAGACTTAATTGAAATGTACAAGAAAACTCACCTGAATAACTGAGGCAGACAGGAAGAGAATCGTAAAAAGGGGACTTGGTAACGTGTACGCCCCTTTCATTACGTGGATGCTGAACAAAAAAATTAGCTGCCCAGGTATCACCAAAGAAAGCAAAACCTGAGCAGAGCGGTGATTTGAACCTGAAAAAGTCAAAGAAAAGTAGTTATGTTCAAGGAGGTCTGCAAGATTAACTGCAATTGAATCCGCACAATTTGATAAAAATATCTAATTTAGATTTTTCTTACATTGAGAAAAATTGTGGTTTATATTTTAAAGTTGCACTGTGTAACTTTAATGGTAGAGGGTCCACCACCTGTTTGTATCTATAGAGATGTTATTGTTTGGGCTGGATGTTGTACTATAGTATTACAATAAACTTATTAATCTCCATAGAAACATCACCAGGCCAAGTAACAAGTCAGATCTGTGTAGCTGCATGTGCAAAGTAAGATTTACAAATGAGTGACACATGTCTGCACCGTGGGGCCTGTAAAGGACGGGCGGGGAGAGGTGTCATGCTGGATCATCACCGTGAGCAGGAATGTGGGGAAGCTGGCCCGACGTGGTCAAAGTAGGAGACAGATGCAACAAAAAATAAATACACGGTGCAAGGTAAAATAAATTTTGTCTGGTTCAAGACAAAATTTATTTTACCTTGCACCGTGAATTTGTGGACAATATGAAAAATTACATATTATAACTGTGCTTAAATAAAGGCGATGGTATACCCCTGAATGGCTGAACTGCTCCCAATTTATAGTTCCCCAGAGCCTACAAATATAGCTGACCAAGGTCACGCCCTCTCTTTTGTCTCCAGACCATGTGGAGTAACAGGTAAGATGGTAAATTGTATGTCAGAAAATGAACAGATATAACCAATTAAAATTTATTTAAAATAAGTGATGTGTAGTGATTAACTTAACTAAACAAAGACTAAATAAAACAAACCCGGGATAGTCATGTTTAGCTGTTTAGTAGAATATGGAAACAGATGTAAAATGAAATGAAATATGAATAAATAGGGACAAAGGCCCATTTTGTCACAAGGAAAAGGGCCGATAAAAGGGCCAAGAGAAGGATACACCAGGCTTACACTTAGGGATGACAGATCAAAAACAATCCGTGTCATTCGTTCATTCGTTTTTCAAAATAAAACCAAAAATAAGAAAATGAAATACATATATATATATATATATTCTTCATTATTTGTCTCCAAATCAAAATGAAAAAACAGATAACGATTCGTTTTTTGTTTTTGTTTTTTCGTTTCTGTTTCGATTTTGTGTTTAAACGAATAATGGAAAAAATGGATAACAGCCGTTTCCTGTTTCCGTGACCAGGACTAAACCAGGAGTTATGTTTTGTTTTCACATATGTTCAACACACAAACATCTTTAGTGATTTGGATGATTTTAGCCTTGAAAAACCAGTCTGTACTGAACTAAATGTAAAAGGTAGCTGGGGTAGTTGCGAGTATGTTTTTGAAGTATCGGGTGTGTTTACCTCAAAAACATACTGCACCTGGATAATATCAAGTGATTTGTTTTGATAGAAGTACTCAAACTCCGATACGATGCGCAAAACTTTAATAATATTCGTACCAGGTAGTTGTCACCTCAGATGCAGCGCGATGAACTTGACAGACACTTCACTAGCACTTATACTATTATTATAATGAGATTACAACGTAGATGTAGACGCATAATATATTTTGTATATCATTTAACAAAAACATGAACTCTTGTAGGCACTGGAAACTTGTGTATATGGTCATTGCAAGTCTAACACACATCTGGATGAGTCTGGAGTTGTGTGTTTTTTGTTATAGAATTTTTGTGTTATGAGACATTGGGTCATTTAAAGTATTAATCTATGTTTAATACTTGTACATTATAAGATTATCAAAATTGCTTTGTATCTTGTTCAAACTGTACGTAACTATAGAACATCAGCAGATATCTGTTAACTCTTGTGGGCTGACACGGCATCTGGAGAGGCTGGGAAGAAACTGTGCGTAAACCAAGATATGAAACTGACTGTGTAAGCAGGTGCAGGGTCAGACTGTCTCGACGGTCTGTTAGTCAGACATAACAACTGAAAAACATGTCGTGTAACTATGTCAAGGCCCTGTGAGATGCTTAACAATAAAAGAGCTGTGGGGAGGGCAAAAGCTTCAGTGCTAGGTTCAGTCATTTAGCTCTCGCACTCCTTGCTGCAAGTAAAACCAACCACGGTGTCGTCTCTGGCTTGTTCTTTACTGATTGAGTCTTTGGGTTAATTCCCTGACATTTTTCCTCTCTCTTTCTTTGCTCCTTCGACACACACAGTTTCACCAACGTTTAGCAAATCTATTTGTTGATTCATGGTGGGCAATGTTTGTTAAATAAACATGAGCATTCCTATTGGTGTCTTAATGGTGATGGCTGTGAATGCATGATGGCTCAAAATGCTTCCACTTCAAAACACAACTTCAGGTATGTTTTTGTTTTTGATGAGGAAACAACATAACATGGACAAGAAAATACTGTTATATGCTCTTTTAAATCTAAATCATACATTAGATATTTTTCCCAAATTGAGCAAACCATAGCTGTGCAATGTACCAAATTATTATTTACCTGAGCCAAAGAAAGCCCTACAAGGACTATAGCAGCCAGTTCGGTCGTCCGGTATCTCTCCCATTGGGTACTTCATATGCAAACTTGTAGAGATGCGACTGGACTGGATGGAGACCAGGTTACCTCCAATGCCTGATCAAAAAACACATTTAGACTGCAGTAAAACTACAGTGTTACAGTATGAGGGTGTCAGAATAATTTTATTATCCCATATTTGCTAAATACTTGTGTGATATTCTATGCCTATGAGTTAACCATTTATGTAACTACAATTCTTTGATTTATAATGTACCAATCACTTGTATGAAAATGAATAACCTCTTTGTGTTTGACAACTGTGTGCAGTGACCTATCGCTCTTGTGAACCTCGAGATGATTCCTCACATGAAGCCAACTTCCACTGTCACACATGCAAGAGTTATGATGGTGTCTGACCATACCTAAGGCACCTCCTGATTGTTAATCATGTTTTATGTGTTTGTACTATGCATAGCTTCATCAGTTTCTTATTATGTCTTTGCTGTTTCCCCTTCCCCTTGAGAATTATCGTTCTGTAACTAGGGCCTCCTAATGAAATAAAAAGAGGAGAGCGGCCTTGAGGCATCAGAACATGTGGAGACTGTTGGTTTTGATGCCCACTCTCTGCCCATTCTCCTCGCGAGTAAAACTGAATTAATCTCTTGTCTTTCTTCTTGTTTACAATGTTTAGGCAGACCTAACAGAGGGCCACATACAAATCACAATAACACATTTTGAACTGCGATATATAGCTTAAGTAAATAATATTGAAGTTACACACAATAACCCAGAGCAAATTAAAACCACTTAACTATATATCTACAATAAAATATATCTAGTTTAGTACTTAGTTTGTATCTGTAATGAGTCACAGAAGTTACAACTCAACCTTTAATGGATTATTTTTTGAAGATACGAACAAATTTACCCAAAAATTTCTCCCAAATACTGACTCCAAAAATATATTATCGTGACAGTATCCACTAGAACCTCTCCATGTCAGCTCAGTCCTTGTTATCTTGGCCTGCATCATCATAGGTATAATACTCCTGTTGTGGAATTTCTATACTATAATCAATAAAAAAACTGAGAAGTTCTTGTTCCTGACAGAGAGTCGTCTATCCCTCGTCTGGTCATCTTAACAAAGCATACAGAGGTTTTATACTCCTCGGAGGAATTAAGACATAACACATCCACAAGGGCAGGTCAGCACAAGGCTGGGTCATCAGCAGTAAAATAACAAGTGAATAACAAGTCGGATCCAGTGAAAACCCAAAGCAGAGATACACTATTTAGTGGAAAGAGCCCCAAAGAAGCATAAGATAACAAAGTACAAGTCTGATTTACAAAAGGATTACACGTGGCGAGGTAGTCTGTTGTAGCTCAAGACATCCATATTTAATACTGCACATTTACTTCAATAATGTGATGTGTTGTTGTGCTTCATATTGCTTATTTCAATGATGTACTAAGTTTAACTCAAATTGCAAACCTTGAATAACTTTATATGTTTTTCTTGTAAATAACCTGTTTTGCAAATAGGCCAAATAGCCACAGGGCAAAACACGCTGATTGGTGGAACAGAGCATTTTGAGCTTTAACAGTATAGACAGACTAATAATAAAAGCTTACTCAACATGTGTGAATGAAACAAAACACCCCACGTATGTTTTTGATGAGGTAAGAACATAACATGGTGATGGTTTCACTCAACACCTCAAAGTGTAAAATTACACATACACATACGCTTGTCTTCGTCGTATGGATGAGCAGGTCGGTATGTGCCACCCATATATTTTGTTTTGGTAAGATTTAGGGATCTTGTGGTTGTGAGGCTGAGTGAGTCTCTGAGACAAAGGCGCATCTCCAGTAACACAGATCTTAGTTATTTTGAGTTTAGACGCCTGCTTTAAAAGTGCATTTTATAACTTTTCTGGTGGTGGACCTGTCAAATATTTCTCTAGATCATGGAGATATCATTACTGTCTGGAATGTTTCACAGTATGGCATTAAACCTTTCCAAACCTTTCTTTCTGTTTTTCTAGGTATTTTTGAGCAGTAAAACCCCAAGGTAGAGCTGTTTAATGTCATACTTATACTGTGGAACATTCCAGGCAAAGCAATGACACATCCATCGAAGCAAGCAAGGTGACAGACACAGTTACACAATGCGCCTTTAACTCAAATTTGTAAACCTTGAATAACCTCGTATGTTGTTGCTGGAAATAACCTGTTTTGCACATGATCCAAATAACCACGGGGCAAAATACCTCTCGGGTTTCTAAACGTCCTGACTGCAGATTATTGCTGTACCTGACCTGACACTGTGGAGGTGGTGCTTTCAGTCCACGCCTCAAAGTGCAAAATTACAGACAGGTCAACACAGCTAAGGGACCGCCACTGACATGCTTTGTTTTGGTAAGATTTACGGACCTTGGAGTTGTGAGCATAGATTGTAAATATAAACAGATATACACTATCGGTCAAAAGATTTAGAACACCACACTTTTTCCAGTTTTTTATTGTTTACTTTTTACTGTTGACCAAAACGTATTCTAAACTTTTGATTCATGAAAGTGTCCACCTTTGGCAGATATAACAGCTGAACACACTCTTGGCTCGTTCTTTTTACAACAGAAATCAAATATCCCTCCAAAACTTCTTCCCAAGTCTGTTGCAGAAGTTCCCATAAATGTGTGGCACTTGTAGGTTCTTCAGCTTTCATTCTTCTGTCCCGTTTATCCCAAAACCAGTTCAATGGGTTTAAGTCTGGACACTGTGCTGGACAATTCATGTTATTAAGTTTTAAATGGACAGGCGCCTCAATACATCAGTGAGTTACTGCGCCCCTACTCCTCAGGCCACACTCTCCGGTTCCCTGGTCAGGGCCTGTTGATCGTCCCAAACACCCAATTTATAACTCGAGGTGACATGTGCTTTCAGGCTGTGGCTCCCAAATTATGGAATGCCCTGCCCCCAGCCCTACGTGAGGCAGACTCTATAGACCCTTTTAAAAAGCAGCTCAAGATTTTAGACTGGCTTTTAGTTGACTGTGTCTGTAATTCCTCTGTTCTCGTTCATGTTGTTTTTTTGCTCTGTAAAGCACTTTGTGATTTTTTATCTCGAAAGGTGCCATATAAATAAAGAGTTACTTACTTTTGTATCTTTTATCTTTTTTTTTTAACCTTGGGCTGTTCAAGTTCTTACCTTCATACCATTTCAAACTCTTCAATGGACTTGCACGACTTGAACTGCAATAAATAACTGGAAAAATGAGGATGTTCTAAAACTTTTGACTGGTAGTGTAGCTAACACACCAGCTGCTGCATTCCAAAAAGGATGTTTGCTCTTCCAGCTCCTACTGACCTTGGCTCCCATCGACTTACATTGGAATATTGTGGCCCCTCTCTCTCTGTGACTGCTGCTGTAAGCCTCATTTTGGTCTTAAAATATTTGTATTAACCCGCTCTACATCATCCTGGTGGGTTTTTTTCTGCTATTTTGTCTGTAAAAAAAAAAAACAGCTCCAAATTCACCCCTGTAACCACCACACTCGCAACAACTCATTTCGTTCTTTTGTTCTTTCACAGAAAACGCTCTGTTCCACCTTCAGCCTAGAACATGTCTTAAAACTGTTGTTGTAAATGTGAAATGTTCCTCTTTTCAGGATACAGGACTGCGTTAAATCATGTACACCTGACATTTCCGTACTCTCTGTTCAACTTGTACAGTTGCCTCTTGTTTTTGTTCATGTATTCTACCCATACAGTATAGAGTGTCAGATCCTATGTTCTAAAATAGATTATGCCTGTACGTCTAGGCTGTGAAGTGACGTTCTTTGTCTGGAAAGTTCTGTTAGAGAATTTTGTGTTATAAGTATTACTCATTTACAGTGTTGGGAAGGTTACTTTTAAAATGTATTCCCCTACAGATTACAGATTACACACCCCAAAATGTAGTTTGTAATGTAATCCATTAAATTACTTAAAATGAGTAACGTAAACTGATTACTTTGGATTACTTGATATTGTCATGTTTTTTTAAACGACATGAATATAGCAACCACATCCTGACAATTCTTGTTTGTTATCTTCAAATTGTCTGAGCCCAAGTCTCCATGAATAAGCAACTGTTTGCTGTAGAGAAACAAAGACCATGATATCTTAATATAAGAGGTTTTGTCTGTTAAAAGACAGTAACAAGATAAGCCTTTCCTTAACCATATTAAAAAATATTATTGATAGAGAAATTATTTTTTATATGAGATCACCTTAAATTATGTCAACCTACTGTTAGGTGTCATGTTGTTTAGACATGGTTTTAGTCCAGGTTTAGTCCTGGTTTTAGTCCTGGTTTAGTCCTAATTTTAGACCTGGTTTACTCCTGATTTTAGACCTGGTTTAGACCTGGTTTAGACCAAGTCTAGACCAGGTCTAGACCACGTCTTTAGTTCTGGTTTAGTTCTGGTTTAGTCGTGGTTTAGTCCTGGTTTTAGACCTGGTTCAGTCCTGCTTTAGTCCTAGTTTAGTCCTGGTTTAGTCCTGGGTTAGTCCTGGTTTTAGTCCTGGTGTTAGTTCTGGTTTAGAGGCGCACAGGAGGAAGCGGTTTATTTGTTATGATAGATCTTAGTACTTATTTGATGAAGCATTTTGAAATGATATTGTATTTTAGCATATACTATATAAATGAAGTTTATTTGTAATCATTCCTATTTGAAACAATAGAAATAACAGGACTTTATCATTTTCAGCATTTAATTATTTAATTCTACTAAGTTATCCCTCATCTATGTTTAAGTTACGCTCACTTATAGCCAAAATAATTTAAAAAAATATAAGTTAAAATTACTCATTACTCAAGAACATGTTACAGCAACTTGACATAATTAAGTTAGTAGGACTATTTTTAAAACTTTTAGTATACACAACTTAATCTATTTAATTAATTTGAACGTTCGGGATCACACTGTATATGAAAACTGGTACTTGTGTAGTAGGAAAATTCATGACTGTTATAATTACCTAACCCCAGTTTCAGTCAGTACTTTTTCATTCAAACTGGATTTCCTCTCCCAGCTGCATCCCATCAATGTCCAGGCCTCCCTAACAGGTCCACAAGTCCTCCCCATTAGTCATTATTTATGGCATGTTCACAAAACATTACAAAACCCAGCGTGGGACAGCCCCAGCTCTCTCTCTCTCTCTTTTTCTTATGCCTTATCTCCTCTTTTTGTCTTGCACGAGAATAAATCCCACAAAGACAACTGTTTGATTCAAGTTCTCTATTTCGTTCTTACCCAGATATTTCCACAGCACTTGTTATGGAGCTCTGTATTTATTGCATGTCCAGTTTCTTTGTAATAATGGTGAGATTTTAGCAATTTTTTATGTGATACAATTAAATTTGAGCTGTAGTGTTGAATAATTAAAGGTGTATGTAACTTTTTGGGGGATTCGTCACCTGCTTGTTTCTATATTCTGTCTGGAATGTTCCACAGTTTGACATTAAACAGATCTACTTTACATTTACATTTATTTATGGTTTTATAGCTCAAAAATGGCTAGAAAAACAGGCATTCTGACTGTGAGCGGGGTCACCTCTCCACTGACCTGTAACTTGGTCTGGTTTGGTCTCCATGAAGACAGAGAGGTTTAATACCATAAAACATTCTTTAACTTCTCTGGCAAATTATTGGTTCATTCTGCTGTTTATTTGCTGCAACTTGTGCTTCTCATGATTCAGTCTATTTAAAAAGTACTTTACTGTGATTCTCCTGCTTTGTCTCAGTCGTTTTGTTTCAATATTATTGTTTTATCACAGTATTTCTCTGTAGAAATTTATTCTGCTTCAAAATTCCCTGACTGGAATGTTCCTGAGCAGAAGTCATAGAGCCAGTTGACACAATCATGCATATTTTCACCCCTTTTGACACTTTCTTGTCTGTTTTGCTTTTCTTATCTGATCACAGTCTTTACATTTGTGACATTTTTGCTTGGTTAGTGGGAAATGCTTTAACATTCAAGAAAGGCAGATTGTTGTTCATCTTCCTGTGTCTTCTCTTAAGCGGTTTTAGATTTGATTAGAGATTACTTGCTCTTCTGATTAACCTCTGCTCTGTAACATTTACCAGACACAGGGGTGACCTTTGACCTTTGCTCCTAACACAAATAACTTTGATGGAAAGAATGATAAATACCATATCATGTCATGTTTGTATATGATTGCAGTTGTGACTTCTGTTAGATTTAACGTTAGTGTTAAAGAGTTTTTCAAACTTTGTATAGATGATTCTTTGTCTTATTTTATCAAAGGGTATTTCTCTAAGTTAATTTCTCATGGGAAAACCAACTTCTTATTAACTGTTATCTTCCCCAAGGACAGGACAGGAGGGTCCTGACTAAGGCAAGGCAAGGCAAGGCAAGTTTATTTGTATAGCACAATTCGTACACAAAGTAATTCAAAGTGCTTTACAGAATAAGAAATACATTAAAATCATAATAAAAACAAATCAAAACATAAATAATCATGAAGATTAAAATTAAAAAGAGAGACATAAATTGGAGAGAAGAGTGCGAAATGAAAACCTTTCAGTTATATGCACAGTCAAACAGAAATGTTTTGAGTCTGGATTTAAACAGCACACACACTAAGGTCATCTCTATGCTGGGCCATGAGTCTCACCCCCTGCAGGACGCTCTGTCTGCTCTGGAGAGCAGCTTCAGTGACAGACTGATTCACCCTCGCTGTGTGAAGGAGAGGTTTCGCAGGTCTTTCCTTCCTGCTGCTGTCAGACTTTACAACAAACACTGCTAACACTGAACATGTACCAGTCAATCATAACCATGTGTAATTATTTTTAAGTCTATTTTTAAATTATTTTAAGCTATTATTTATTATCTGTGTTACCTTTTCCTGCTGTTCTGAAATTGTGCGTTGCAACACTGGAATTTCCCCACTGTGGGACTAATAAAGGCATAGCTTATCTTATCTTATCCTCCCTAAGCACATCCCTCCCTTACACCTCAGCAGCTGGCACACGCACACACAGAATACACACCTTTATTCTCTGTGTTTTTTACTGTGATAGAAAAATGTAACCGCCCATTTATTCTTGTAACCTGTGTGATTTAATAAATACGTGACGTTGGACAGTGGTTCTTCGGCAGTTAAGAGCTGTAGCAGCACCTCTGTCCCTCGCCGCGAATAAAAACCCTGAATTCTGCCTTCTGAGTTTCTTTGTGTTAATATCTCTGTTATTTTCTGACAGTTAGCAAAGTAATGTTTTACTTTAAATTAGTTAAAGTGAAATTACTCTATGTAAGACACACCTACAAAATCTGAATAGAGAATCTCTCTCGGAGCCACGTCAGGTTTCCCTCACGTGTGTGGAGATGTTAGAAAAAAGATCCAGACCAACCTCTCTGCTCGTAAATACTACTTATTAACAAAACAGAGTACAATAGCCAATCAACACACAGTCTGGGCCTTGCCTTGCCTTGCCTTGCCTTGCCTTACTGATGCCCTTGGAATGCAGGGCCCCTCAGACCGCCAGAGATCACTGAGGTAGTGAATCAGTGAGCCGCAAACTCACTGACAGGCTGATTTCTCCATCATTCCTCATACTCCTCCATTCAGTCCAGTCCGCACCTCAGAGAGTGAGCCAAGAGAGAGCAGATAAAGACCAAACTCAGCTAGGACCCAGAACTGCTACGAAAAACTGCTACTAACTCCACATGCAGTAACCTGCTCAACACTCAACGATCAGTCACAGAGGAAGAGAGGACAAGAGGAGGCCCTGATCTGCCCTTGTGACGTCATCAGGATGCCATCAGGACACCGAGCCCTGTCCGAGTGTCATATAAGAGACTGATCCACAGTGGCCGCCATACGCAGAGTTTGGCATAAATAAGGAGATATCGTTCCCTGTTTAGATGAATGAGTTGCCTAATTAAATTAACTAATGTCTAGTTCCAGTGTTAATGACATCAGCTGCAAAGTATCAATAATGTTTTGAGTGGGTAGAACACAAAAATGCTCTTGTACTTTTGTATTTAAATGAAATCTCTAGACACAAAATATCTAACTTTAAATGAGTTCATTACTGCTTATTGGGAGTTGCACCATTTTTTTTTATTTAACTATAAACAAAACAATAAAAACATCAACTCACCATTGATTACTGGAGCATATACGATTATCCCTGCCAAATTTGGATCTGCAACAGTTTTGTCCAGAATAAGACCACCGATGCTGAGGGAAAAACAACCAAATCAACTTTTAAAATCCAACTGAAAAGTTTCAGAATATGCATCAAAAGTTTTCAAGTCTAAATCATGTTTGCAGGGTTGAATTCACAAACTTTAGTACACTATAATACGAAAGCATCACATTAGAATGACCTTGGAGTTCAGTTTTTATAGCCAAATTAAGTCTAAACTGATGTGAACCTGCTGCATTTACCTTGTAGTGTTTCCCCACCTTTATATAAATAACTGACACGGACGATGACCATTGTGTTGGGGCGCCATTAATAAACTTTTATTAGGGTCCCTAACCTACACTTGATGTAATTTGTGGTTGGATTAATCAATTACTGGTAGAATATGTGAACTGCATAAGTATTGGTAAATCCGATTCAATATAACAGTTAGTCGTGTTAGTCAACTTTGTTTTGTTTATTGAATACTGTCAAAATATAATCTATGTATCTATCTATCTTTGCTATTAAAGTGGGTATGGCAGGTTTTGACCTTTTTTTTTTTTTACAAATTTCTACCTAATTTGATGGGATAATACCTGTTGTAAATATAAGTGCTAGTTTTAAACCAGTCAAGAAGCATTTTGTGAAGAAAAGTTGAAAAATATGTTGAAAATTACAGGAAGCAGAGCGTTTTATTTCCATATTGATCAAACTAGGGAGAATTCTGTCTAAAATTTAGGCACAATTTATACTTACAAAACACATTTTTCTGATACTTTAAAAGTGATTTTAACCAAATGAAGGTGCTTTCTTATAAATGAATTTGTCAAATAATACTAATCTCTGTGTACGTGTGAGTTTTGGCCCAGTGCTGCTGTAGACACACTGGCAGTCTTGTCATTATAACATGCATTGAATATTTAATAAATTCAATTCAATTAAATTCAATTCAATCTTTATCAAGAACATATGATATCATGTTCATAGTATAAAAAAAAACAAATAAAATGTATATTCTTCTTATTTTTTATATATTTACTTCTATTTATTTTTTTATTTTTTTTCTATACTATATTTACAGATATTATGTGTTCTTAATAAAGATTGAATTTATTTATTATTTATTTATTATGGAATTCCCTAGTGTGATGTCATGATTTTCAACCTTAAAATCTGAAACCTAAAAACTGGCCAAACTGGTAAAGAAAGTCTAAAATGTTTTGTAAGATCTTAAATATAATGATCTTAACTGTGTTTTAATAAAATGTGTGCTTCAACCTGTCATAGGCCAAAAAACATGAGCACACCCCGATTTTAGAGTCATTGCACTGGCTTCCATTTTGATTTAGAGTTGATTTTAAAATTGTATTGTTTGTTTTTAAAGCTTTGAATGGACCAGCCCCACGTTACGTCTCGTATCTCATCCAAATTTACTCCCCCGCATGCACTCTGAGGTCCAAGGGCTAGCTCCAGCCTTAAAACCAGGGGGGGCAGGCCCTTCTCTGTGTCCGGCCCCAAGCTCTGGAACACTGAAATCCTTCATTTCCCTTATTTTAATGCTCTGCTCCTCACCTAGAAGGAATGTCGGGAGCACTCTTTACTTACTTTGTGTGAAGCATTATTATTTCCTTTTCACTTAGAAGGCACACCGGTCTTGAAGTCATCTGACCATGTATCTTTGCATGTCGTTCCTTCTTCAATTCTTGGTAGTAACACGTCCAAACCCCCACAGTGCAGTATTTTAAGTCTCATCTTTTATTCTCTGACTTTTGACACCGTGTGAGTTGTGCGGTTCTCTGTGTCTTTTATTTATTTTATTTATTTTACTTATTTACTGCTGTGTTATGATTTTCATAGTTTTGCTTTTATTGATTTCACTGGTTTTATTGTTTCAGGACTGATATGATCAAATTTAGCAATTTACATTTTGTTGTCTTCATTTTATGATCTCTGTGCAGCACTTTGGAAATCACTTTGTTTGTAAAATGTGCTATAGAAATAAAGTGGATTTGATTAGGCACTTTACAAGACGGTATGTACTACTAGTAAATAGTTATCTCTGTGATTTTCTTATATTTTTTATATTGTTATTGGTACATTTATATAAAATAACAGTTCATTCCAAATAAACTTATGTTAGACATTGTTATAGTCACACAGTCCCAACAGTGTATAACAGTAGGTCTACCTGCTTATGACCATTGCAGTAATGATAGGCTCCCAGCCTGTGCGCAGCAGAAGAAGAGTGTCCGGGTGTTTGGAGCAGATGATGATCCAAACAGGGATCAGGCAGACAATCACGAAGTCCACCAGAAAAAGCACAAATGGAGACCGGTCTGAAAGAGCATATACAATGACATACTGATGTTAACAGCTACCTTTACCTTTTGTTTAGTTGGCATGGGCAATTCCAGTGCTGAAATCATCCCAATAATAATCATCCCAATAGATTTTAAAAACTTCTGTTTTACTACTTGACATTACAAAGCAGAGCAAGTGCTTTCTATTTGAGAAAACAACTCAGTCTAAATATGCAGGGTTTGTGTGTTAAACATGTGTGAATGAAACAAAACACAATTCCAGGCAGGTGTGTTTTTGATGAGGAAACAACATTATAACATTGATCAGAAAATAGCATTATGTAGGTGTTTTAGTTAAAAATAAGTATGTTTGGAATAAACTGTCTGATTCTCCAGTTTCTAATCTGTAAATAGTAAAATATCTTTCCATAGAAGATATGTTTTACCCATAACTGTGTAGAACCACTGACTGAAGCAGGCCAGTAAAGCCAGAGTGATGATGTCTCCAAAGCTGGCTGCCATTGGTGTCGCAATATTATCAGGGTTAAGTCCCATCCGCTTTGAGCCAATGATCACTCCGACCATAATCAAACCTGTAATAATAAAGATAATACCATTTAAACTGTTAGCGCTGTTTTTTAATGATTATTAAATTTACTGTGTATGTGTTACCTTGGACTAAAGAGGCTATAAATGCAGTGGTGACACTAGTGGAAGCCAAAATCACCATATGGTTCAAGGGCATGTTTCCCTCTGCCATCCAGCCAAGCAAAGTGGCCATCAGCGACGCTAAGAGACCCAACACTGTGGCTTGGAGCTGAGAAAAGGGACAATAAAACACACCATGAAGGTCCTATATTATGCAAAATTGACTCTTGTGAGTTTTGAGCCATGTTATAATGTTGTGTCCTCATCAAAAACATACCCGAAGTTGTGTTTTGTTTCATTCACACACACATTTTCCTAACCCTTATATTATTTCTCTGTCTACATCTCCAAAGCTCAAAATGCTTTGCTATTTTTCATGTAAACAGCTAACTTTTACCTTTAGTTCAGCTGAGACAGGCAGTTCCAGGGGTGAAAACATCCAAATAATTCTAATGAAGGTGTATGGAGTTTAATAACACAGTGGAGCACTCCCTGTATTACCACATATCACAATGTGGAACAGTGTTTTCTGTTTGAGAGAAGTAGAGGACTCAGCCTAAATATGCAGGATTTGTGTGTTAAAAGTGTTTGTGTTCTGCCTTTCAAGCTTTATTTAGTTCATTTTAACGCATTTACTTTTATTTTGAAAACAAAACCGTGCTTTTATTTTGGTAGTCTCCACCAGTCCGTGGAACCGGAAGTGTGAAAAATAAACATAAAAATAAAACTCGTACAGAAGCAACGCGTGTATGTATACGTGTCAACATTTAATTTCATGGGTGTATAAATTACTTAAAAATAAAATTGTAAAGTTATAAAGTTATAGTAGTCAGCTGTTATTTATGTTAGGGATTATTTTCTTTGTATTATGCATCTTCATATAATATGCTAATGATAAAACCGGATAATATGTGATAAATTCTTTTTTCTTTTTTTCCATGTTAAAAAAAGCCACTTTTTATGGGCAATATGTTGTAACAGCTTTACTACAAGTCACTGAGCTACTGGAATGTGAAATTATTACAAGAGATCGCTGATTGTATTTTAGTATTTTCATAAGATGAGCATTAAATATGAAAACTCCAACAACTGTCTCGTTATTGAATCAAAGTTTAGCTCCCTGTCAAGTTGGAACTGCCTCTTGTCTCAGTGAGAACAGTAAGTACAGTGTGAATGAAACAAAACACACCTCCAGGTATGTTTGTGATGAGGAAACAACATTATAACATTCATAGATCAGAAAAAAAAACATAATATAGGATCATTAACTTTAAAAACTTATATTGCCAACTGAATGAATAGCACAATTTACTTTACTGCAAAAATAATGTAGGAGATGTACCTGTTTAAGTGCAAGATTCCCAGTAATCAGCATCAACTTTTCACCTGGGAGTTCAATCTTTCCTGCATTTACCTAAGAATACCAAACAAAATGTATGTTTTAATACATATTTTTATTTTTTCAAGTATATTATTCCTTCAGAGATCCTTTTATTATAACGAGTTCATTGTGCTCTAAACTCTCATCATGTTCTGCTCATCCTTTACCACTACTACACTGCCCTCAAAGGCAGAATGCTGTAACATCGTGTTTGGTCTAAAATGAGTTAATGTAATTTTGAGGATATTTGAGATCTCTTTTATTATGTGAATAAATATTGTGAAAAATATTGAGCTCAAATTTGACCTTTGTCCCTTATTGGGCAGTTACTGTATTCTGCCTTTGTATCATGTGCCAAAAATAAGGAGAGGTGCAAAGGCAAAAGGAAGTAACTGTGTATGTTTTGTTTGTGATTTAGTTAATACATTTTATTTTAAAATCAAACCTCTAGCCTCCTTCTGTTTGTTGCAGCCTTGGTACAGGGTTTTGCCACATTAAATAAATATATCTTTGTATTTGAAGGCTGTATCAAGTGGTGGTTTGAATATTGGTTAATGAAGTTACACATTGAGTTGAAGCTTAAACACTGAAATAGGTAACATATGTACTTTTAAGGAAATTCCTTTGCAGAACTTGGTCTCTGGAGAAAACCCCAGCTGGCTTATCTAAACAGACTTGGTGGTGATTTACACCATTTGCCATCCATTCATCCATTTTCGTCCGCTTATCCGGGGCCGGGTCGCGGGGGCAGCAGCCTAAGCAGGGACTCCCAGACTTCCTTCACCCCAGACACGTCCTCCAGCTCCTCCGGGGGGACCCCGAGGCGTTCCCAGGCCAGCCGAGAGACATAGTCCCTCCAGCGTGTCCTGGGTCTTCCCCGGGGCCTCCTCCCGGTGGGACATGCCCGGAACACCTCTCGAGGGAGGCGCCCAGGAGGCAACCCTCCTTGAACCGTCACCTTATCGTGGTGGAGGGGTTTGAGTGCCCGAATGATCCCGGGAACTATGTTGTCGGGGGCTTCATGCCCCTGGTAGGGTCACCCAAGGCAAACAGGTCCGGGGGGACGGGTCAGACGAAGAACGGTTCAGAAGCCCCACATGATGAGTTACACACAGAGGCCAGTTACGTCGCCCGGACTGGCGTCACTGGGGCCTCACCCTGGAGCCAGGCCTGGGGTGGGTGCTCGTCAACGAGCGCCTGGTGGCCGGGCCTTCCCCCACGGGGCCCGGCCGGGCTTAGCCCGAAGGAGCGACGTGGGGCCGTCCTCACGTGGGCCCACCACCCGCGGGAGGAGCCATATGGGGCCGGTGCAGAGAGATCTGGGCGGCAGTCGACGGCGGGGGCCTCGACGACCGGATCTCCGGACATGGAGACTAGCTCTGGGGACATGGAATGTCACCTCGCTGGGGGGGAAGGAGCCTGAGCTTGTGCGGGAGGTTGAGCGTTACCGACTAGATATAGTCGGCCTCATCTCCACGCACAGTTTGGGCTCTGGAACCCAACTCCTTGAGAGGAGCTGGACTCTCCATTTCTCTGGCGTTGGCCGCGGGGAGCGGCGGCGGGCTGGTGTGGGCCTGCTCATTGCCCCACAGCTCAGCCACTGTGTGTTGGAGTTCACCCCGGTGAACGAGAGGGTCACGTCCCTGCGCCTTCGGGTCGGGGACAGGTCTCTCACTGTGGTGTCGGCCTACGGGCCTCTTGCATGTGTGACAGTGGGAGTTGGCTTCATGTGAGGAATCATCTCGAGGTTCACAAGAGCGATAGGTCACTGCACACAGTTGTCAAACACAAAGAGGTTATTCATTTTCATACAAGTGATTGGTACATTATAAATCAAAGAATTGTAGTTACATAAATGGTTAACTCATAGGCATAGAATATCACACAAGTATACTTGTGTGATATTCTATGCCTATGAGGCATCAGAACGTGTGGAGACTGTTGGTTTTGATGCCCACTCTCTGCCCGTTCTCCTCGCGAGTAAAACTGAATTAATCTCTTGTCTTTCTTCTTGTTTAAAATGTTTAGGCAGACCTAACACAGCTCTACACTCTCCATCGGGTGCTCGAGGGTTCATGGGAGTTTGCCCAACCAGTCCACATGTGCTTTGTGGACTTGGAGAAGGCATTCTACCGTGTCCCTCGTGGTGTCCTGTGGGGGGTGCTCTGGGAGTATGGGGTCCGGGGCCCTTTGCTAAGGGCTGTCCGGTCCCTGTATGACCGGAGCAGGAGCTGTGTTCGCATTGCCGGCAGTAAGTCAGACCTGTTCCCGGTGCATGTTGGACTCCGCCAGGGCTGCCCTTTGTCACAGGTTCTGTTCATTGTGTTTATGGACAGAATTTCTAGGTGCAGTCAGGGGCCGGAGGGGGTCCGGTTTGGGGACCACAGGATCTCATCTCTGCTGTTTGCGGACGATGTTGTCCTGTTGGCTTCATCGAACCAGGACCTGCAATGTGCACTGGGGCGGTTTGCAGCCGAGTGTGAAGCGGCTGGGATGAAGATCAGCTCTTCTAAGTCTGAGGCCATGGTTCTCGACCGGAAAAAGGTGGCTTGCCCTCTCCGGGTGGGTGGGGAGTCTTTGCCTCAAGTGGAGGAGTTGAAGTATCTCGGGGTCTTGTTCACGAGTGAGGGGAGGACGGAATGTGAGATTGACAGGCAGATCGGTGCAGCTTCGGCAGTGATGCGGTCGCTGTATCGGACCGTTGTGGTGAAAAGGGAGCTGAGCCGAAAGGCGAAGCTCTCGATTTACCGGTCAGTCTTCGTTCCTACTCTCACCTATGGTCATGAGCTCTGGGTAGTGACCGAAAGGACGAGATCGCGGATACAAGCGCTTGAAATGGGTTTCCTCCGCAGGGTGGCTGGGCGCTCCCTTAGAGATAGGGTGAGGAGCTCAGTCACATGGGAGGAGCTCGGAGTAGAGCCGCTGCTCCTCCATGTCGAGAGGAGCCAGTTGAGGTGGCTCGGGCATCTCGGGCATCTGATTTACAATGGTTTGGTATAATTACCTCCGCCAAGGAGGTTATGTTTTTGCCGGCGTTTGTCTGTTTGTTTGTTTGTTAGTTTGTTTGTCTCTTAGCAACATAACTCAAAAACTTATGGACCGATTTTGATGAAATTTTCAGGATTTGTTGGAAATGTGAAAAGGAAGAACTGATTTCATTTTGGGGGTGATCCGGAAGAAATCCTGGATTCTGGATCACTTTGAAATTTTAGTTAACATTGTGGTAAATGGGGCCAAAAATTTTGTTTCTCAATATCTCGATTAATTATTGACCAAACCCCATGAAATTTGACTCAGGGATGGACAATCGGATCCTCTTTCATATTCCAAATTGAAAGATACGAGACAAATATTTATGGAAAACACAATTAATATGAGGGGGACTGTAGTCCTTGGCGGAGGTCTACGCTCTCTGAGTGCTTTTCTAGTTGGTTACTTCATTATTGCTACAACTTGTCAAATTTATTACTTTTATCTGGACAAAACAGAAACTATGAAATAATTTTTCTCAGTTTCACACTCTGGCATGTGAAGGTCTTTAGCCTTTGTAGGGCTGTACAGTTCACAACCATTCACATTCTGAGTGTCTGTCTCCCTCTAGAGGTGAGATGTTAACTGCCATCGTTGGTGTCTTTTGTTTTCTCATCCAGACTCACTCAGTCACACTGAGATCCTACAGTTTAAACCATTAAATTATCAACATGCTTGGTTTTCTTCAATTAAAGGGCCCATATTACTGGTCAATAACGCACACGCAGATTATGTCAATATTAACCTTTTCTTCATATAAAATCAAGTAGACAAATATATTTTTATTAAGAGTTTTATTTATATTAAGCCTGGGAATTAAAATTCACTGCAATGAATCATGTATATTCCTTGCAGTGAATTTTAATTGTGCTGCATTGGTTATTTTTTAGACTTTATTATGTGTGGATGGGACGGATTCCTAGGTTTTTGTATCAGTATCATGTAGTTGGTGTTTTATATTACACTATTTTGATTTGGTAATTCACTTCAAAAAATCCTAAATTACTTGTTTACTAATTACAGTGAATTTAAATAGTGCTTTTTTTTTCTTTTTTCTTTTGTTAACCCATCCTGTCCATTTAAAAATAATAAATTAAGGATCCAATCATGTGTCAGGTGTTCCATTCCATTCAGGTGTTTGATGGGGGGGGCCTAGACAACAGGTAGGTGCTGAGAGGACCATTGGGTATCAAGTTATTCCTCATGATCTGGACGCAGATGAGGACGCAGAGCCGATCTCTTGCAGCAGGCTTTTAGCAGCTACTTTACCAACAACTTTGAGATCTTTGGGTCTGAGCTCGATGTTGTCAGGGATCACAACCTGGTTCTTCACTGTTCTCAGTTTTTGGACAAGTGCCTCCTGTTGGTCTGTGTCAGGAACTGCTTGAGTTTCCGAACCAGTTTTTTCATCAGAGCTACGATCATGCCACGTGTAGCTTCCAAGCAGTGGGTTTTTACAAATGACTCCACCGCCTCTGGTTCACTGGGGTCTTGACTGGAGATGTGATAGACACCTCTGGTATCAGTACAGTGTCGCTGGCGGTTGTTGATTCAATTTCCGCTGGTTGACATTCCTCTAGTGAGATCTCCGGGAAACTTTCTTCATTTGGATTTTCTCCAGCTCGACCTCCACAAGTTGGTCTTCAGGGGGCTGGATTTCTTCTAGTGGGATTTTCTCCACTTGGATCTCCTCCACTTGGATCTTCTCCAGCTGGATTTCTGGGAGTTGTATCTCATCTAGTTGGACTGTAATACAACCCTCTATTTGGTCCCTCGGCAACTCAGCTCACCTGTTGTAGTACCAACTAAATCAGTTCTTTATGATCAGATTATGTTAAAATAAAGTACAGATTAAAGTCTAATAAAGCATCAGACAGAGCAGTGCCTGCAGTTTGTATAAGACCCCCAGGGAATTTTGATACCAGCCTCAAAGTATGAATTGGTGGTTTTCAGATTCTTGAATGTGATCATGTCATACTCAAAGATGGAGGCAAAATTCTGTTATTATTACATTATACTAGCTTTGAAATATTTAAAAGGTAAATGCACAAATGTGGAACCTGACCATTTCTATTAGTGACTAGACCCAAGAAGTCACTGTATCACAACAGAAATCTGCATTTTAACAATATTAATTTTAGTTGCGCCCATCTGTATTAAATATTATTGGTCTAATGTTGTGATTTCATCTGAAACACAGCAATACAGTTTAAGGGCAATTTAAAGGTCCTATATGACGTGAAATTGACTCTTGTGAGCTTTAAGTCATGTTAAAATGTTACTTCATCACGGAAGATTCAAATCCTGGATTAATAAAGGGTTAACAACATTTTTTTCCTTTACACATAAAGGGACACTTCAGAGTTTTCAATCCCTGCAGGTTAAGAATGGTTTGGAACAGGCCGACTTCTTCAGGTTCCTCCAGATGCGTGATTATTTCAACAAGCATTGCAAGATTGGAAATCCGACACCAATCGAAACAGAAGTTTTTAAGATCATCAAATCGACATATGATGCGTCTATAAGAAAAGCTATTTCCAAACTGTATAATGTTCTCCTTCATGCAAGAAATGATACCACTCTACATATCAAGAAAAAATGGGAAAACGAAGCAGGAATAATTGTATCTAAAGAAAGCTGGGAAAACATTTGTAATTTCCAGTGGACTTCCACAAGTTCATTGACATGGAGAGAACATTGTTGGAAAAATATCATAAGATTCTTTAAGACCCCCCAACAAAGTAAATATAAAAATGCAAATGCCGAATGTTGGAGGAAATGTGGATCTATGGAGGCGAACCATTTTCATGTATTTTGGGAATGTCCGGTACTACGACATTACTGGTCTGGAATATATAAAGCTCTAAATGGTATTTTTGCAGTTCAGTTACGTGATGACTTTTCATTTATGTGTTTGGGTCTAAACACAGTCTTGAACCGAGGAGGGGATATTAAACTACTACAGGCACTTCTAGCGGCCAGCAAAAAATCAATAACTAGGAAATGGCTAAATCCAACCCCCCCAACACTTGAGGACTGGTTTGATACAGTTTTAGAAATTTACAAAATGGAGAAATTGACATACATTCTAAGAGTACAAAGGGACAAATTTTATAAGATTTGGGAAAAATTAATCCAGTTTGTATCCCCCTTTCGGGCTGATTTTGATTGACTTTTTGTAAATGTACCAGGTAATGGGGTATGGATCCCCTGACTCCACCACGCTCACCGAATTTGTTTCTTGAAGGGTTGAAATGTTTGGTAAATGCTGTCAAGTAGGCCACCTCACACTGTTGTTAGTTAGTTAGTTTGTTCCCTTTTTTATTTATTTTTTATTATTATTATTATTATTTTAATTATTATTATTTTTATTCACTTTTCGTTTTTGTAAAAAAAAAAAAAAAAAGTTCGAAAAGGACTCTGATCTTTCTGTAATACCACAGACTGTAAAGAGGCAAACCTTTTCTAATAAAAACATAAATGAAAAAAAAAAAAAAAAAAAAAAAAAAAAAATGTTATGTTATGTCAAAAAACATATCTGGAGTTGTGTTTTGTTTCATTCACACGTTTGAGTAATCTTTAATTATTAGTCTGTATACATCTCCATTAAGTTTTCAAGTTAACAGCTCCTTTTAACTATTGTTCAGTTGAGTAGAGCAATTCCAGGGCTGAAATTATCCAAATGATTCTAGTGAAGGTGTATGAAGTTTAAAAAGGCAGTACTCCCACACCACATGACATCACAAAGTGGAGTGTTTTCAGTTTGAGTGAAGAACTCAGCCTAAATATGCAGGGTTTGTGTGTTAAACATGTGTGAATGAAACAAAACACAACTCCAGGTCTGTTTGTGATGAGGAAACAACATTATAACATGACAAAATAGAGTAATATGGGCCCTTTAAATGAACATATCCTCTGTACAAAATTAGTACCGTGCCTCATGTTTGTCTCTTTGCGTGGCCTTTACACAACAGTGAGACAGTTCACACCTATGAGGCATGAGGAGCAACTTATTATTCTTAGAAGGTGGCCTTAGTTATCCTTTGAGCAACTGTTTACAATATAAATGAATAGGATAGTATACAGAATAGTTATTTTTCTGTACTATATTAAGATTTGAGCTGTAGAGGGTAGAATAAATAACTTCTATAACTCATTATTATTAACTATTATTGTATTTCATGTTTTTAACCATAGAGTCAGAGGTGGGAACTTGTAAATCATGACTTGGACTCGAGTCAGACTTGAGTCACTATTTTTAGGGCTTGAGGCTTGACTTGATAAAATGGACTAAGACTTGGGTTTCAACTTGGACTTGAAGGTCAATGACTTGGGACTTGACTCAGACTTGAGGCCTATGACTTGAGAAGCACTTTTAAATCTGAATTCTTTCTATTCTGAGTGTAAAGATTAACTCTAAGATCTTGTCAAGACATTTAAAAAGGAAAAGTTTGCATTTATACAACTCTTATATACTCTATAAATACTCATATATAAATATACTATGACTTTATAAGTACAATTTATCTTTAACATCATATAAATTGCAACAATCTACTGGTACTTTGGTTTAAAGACTTGAAATAACTTGAAGCTAAAGCAGATGACTTGGACTTGACTTGGACTTCTGGACCAGTGACTCGAGACTTGACTTGGATTTGCCTGTATTTGACTTGGGACTTGGCTCGGACTTGAGGTCAGAGACTTCAGACTTACTTGAGACTTCCAAAATGGTCCCACCTCTGCATAGAGTAGATTTTAGAAAAGTTTTTTGGTGGGATAATTCTGCTTTAGGGTTATTGTGCCAGCGGAATAATTTAGCTACAATATTATCATTTATCGTCAGGGTAACACATAAGCAAACACAACCAAAAAAGTTTTAAGAAACTCAAGAAAAATACAAAATTGATTTAAACAGCACATTTTCAGAAGCCTGTGACCAATACATGCATTTATGGTCCTGTTTAGGTGTTTGATTTACAACAGAAAAAGTGACTAAGTGAAAAACAGTTGACTCTGTCTTATGTGTGAGAGACTTCAGGTCAGTTTGTGATAAAATAAAAGTTCAGATTAAAGTTTAATTTCAGTAACAGAGCTTCAGACAGAGCAGAGCCTCCAGTTAGCATCACAACCCCAGGGAATGTTGATGACATAGCAACAAACTATCAATATATTTCTTCAGCAATATGTCACTCTTTAAAATGTGTTATTGTGACAGAGCTACTAATTAATACACAGTTCATTACCTCTCATGACCTGATGTGTTGATGCTGCAGTTTATTTATTACATATTTGTCCATTGTCCTTAAAGGTGCATTGTAGGAATGTAACGAATATCCAAATTTCTTAATACAATATTTTCACGTTATGCATCTCACGGTACGATATTTATTGAGATATTTTACGGGAGCTAACAAAATTGAGAATATGCTTCTTTTCTTCAATAATCCAAATAATTAAGATTTAAACATGCTTAATAACAGTTGTTTTATCATGCAGATTGGACTAAAACAGAGCAAAGGATCATGGTCTATGTAGTTCTGTCTGTTTTTAAGCTGTTGCTGCACCATAACAATGAATTTAAGGAAAGAAACTTGTAATTCGATATATTGTGATGGCCCATGATATTATTATGAGACTTTTAATGATACTGTATCATGATATTTCAGTTATTGTTACATCCCTAGTGCATTGTCCATCAAATGCTTTTCTCCATAAAGATGTTAGTGCTTTGTGTGGAATGTTACAGGTCAAATTTGTGGAGAGGCAACCCTGCTCACAGTCAGAATGATTGTTTTTCTAGGTATTTTTGAGCTATAAAACTGCCTATACTTTAATAAATGTAAAGTAGAGCTGTTTAATGTCATACTGTGGAACATTTCAGGCAGAGCAATGGCATATCATAGAAACAAGCAGATGACGGACCCTCAACCAAAAAGTTACTTAGTGCCCCCTTGAATACTCACAGCTGTAGAGAGTCTAGAGGCCAGAGTCATTTCCAGGTTCCCTTTCATTCCCAGTACTGCAGGCACCAGTATGAGGAGCTCTGTGATTTCCAGAAACACATCCCAAGTCTGTAACATAAATAGAAAACACAATCAGAAATAAAAAAGGATAAGATGCAGCTATTTAGTCTTTTTGTAATTGTTTTCTTTGCATTGTTATGGTTACAGATGTTCATTAAAGGGCCCATATTATGCCATTTTCTGAACTGTGATATCATGTTTGTTCTTCAAAATCATACCAATATCCTTAAAAAGTTGTGTTTTATTTCATTCACACATGTTTTACACAGAAATCCTGCATATTTAGGCTGAGTTCTTCTCTAAAACAAAAACAAAACAAAAAAAAATACTCTGTTCCACCACTGTGCTTTTAAACTCCAAACACCTTCATCATTTGGATAATTTCAATCCTGGAACTGCCAATCTCTACTAAACAAAAGGTAAAATGTAGCTGTTAACATGAAAACTACCACTACATGACATCACAAGGTGGAACAGAGCATTTTGAGCTTTGGAATTGTAGACAGACTAATAATAAAGGATTACACAAACATGTGTAAATGAAACAAAACACAACTCTATGTATGTTTTCAAGGAGGTAAAAACATTCTAACATGGCTTAAAGCTCACAAGAGTCAATTTTGCATAATATAGGACCTTTACTATACACTGTCCCTTTTAAAATAAATAAATAGGCTACATACATTTTTTGTCAATTAGTTCATACTCTTATTACTCTATATCAGACTTGGACATTGTTCAGCTCCCAGACCACAGACGGCCCATTTGTCGACTCTGACCGGCCCCTTTTAGCTAATTTAGAATTACAAAATAAACATATTTTATCATTTTACCTCATGCATGGACTAAAGCTGCATTGTTTTTATTTTAGAGGTGTTTTTAATGACATTTTTTTGTAAAGCAACCTCACTTTTTCATTGCTTAGTCACAACATAAACTCTTACCAGTCTTACCAGCTCGTCAAAATAATGCTATTTCCTGCTTTTTTTAAATAAAGAAATACAGTTAATATTATGCAGAACAGAGTTAAGCATTTTGGTCCAGCCCTCCACAATATTTTCTGTGTCTCGTGGCTTTCTCATAATTGCCCACCCGTGCTCTATATGTTATGTTAAAATAATAACTATTTAAAAATATAATTAAAAAACTATATATATTCTCTTACTTGGACCACTTCCAGGAGCATCCCAGCTGAGACTGTCCCGAGACCGGCCAGTACGAAAGGCACGAGAATCTGCAGCACCATGGAACAAAACGATTCCTCATGTAAACTGGAGTGATCGGTGTCTATTTCTGTGTTAGAGCTCCTTCTTCTCAGCCCGCCGTAGTGTTCATTTGACAGCAAAGAGTCTGTTTCAGTATAATCCCATGAATTGTGAGTGTTTGGCTTTGTTGCTCCATGTTCCTGCTGTGAGCCATACTGGATAGATGTCCTTGGAATAGATCCGTTCAGTAACTTTTCATGCTCTTGTGATGATCGGCCTGCCATAGTTTCAGACTAGATCCTAAAACGTTGTCTTGGATGCTGCAGAGTGAAGGCAGCTCCTACCACGGCAGTATCTCTGAAAGAAAAAAAAAAAAAAGGTATAGTAATGTGCTTTAAGAGGATGTACACCTGTTATAAACGTCCTATATTATACAAAATGTACTCTTGTGAGCTTTTAGTCATGTTAAAATGTTATCAACTCCTCAAAAACATATCTGTAGCAGTGTTTTGTTTCATTCACACATGTTTTGTTTCATCCACACATTATACTTTGATTCAGTAAAGATTGGAAATTCCAGATTGGAAATTATCTAAATGATTCTATTGAAGGTGTATGGAGTTTAAAAACACAGTGGAGCACTTCTGGTTTTACCACATGATATCACAAGGTGGAACAAACTGTTTTCTGTTTGAGAGAAGAACTCAACCTAAATAAGCAAGATTTGTGTGCTAAACATGTGTAAATTAATGAAACAAAACACAATTCCCGGTATTTTTTTGAAGAGGAAACATCATTATAACAGATCAGAAAATGGTGCAATATGGGCCCTTTAGATAACTGAATCTGTAAATGATTTAAAAAGGTAGGTTTAACTAAAATAAAACCATGTACTAAAAAGCAGTGGTAAGCTAGACTGGCGTTACACAAGAGTCATCTGATGACACGGACTGCATTATCATTCTTCATGCTCGCGTTCCGTCAGCAGCACTGAGGCAGCGTTGTTTCAACGGGACAATGACCCTTAATTTAAAATTCCTGAGAAATGACCAGGTCGGAGAACACACAAAGAATGGTATATCGTCATTCTTTATTTTTACTAAAGCGTAGCCTAGACATTTTAATTAAATTGTATGTTGTTTATTACAACTGCTAGTATACACTTATACAAGTATGCCTTATTTGACATCTGTCTTTTATTATCTTTTTTGCTACTTATTTAGAATTTATTTTTACCATTTATATTTTTCCTCTTTGTTATTATATTATATTGTGATGTGTACTATTGTGTCAAAATAATTTCCCTGGTGGATCAATAAAGTTTAAGTCTAAGTCTAACTAAAATTTCTTATTATATTGTGTTCATCTGGACATTTTTGTTCACATGTGAAGTGTTCAATTCAATAAAAGTTCGTTTTTTAAAAGTACTTTCTTTTTATTACAGATATTATCACTGACAGTAGTGTACAGCAGATTATTGTAAATAGAGTGCAGTAAAATATAACTGGCTAAACATTTCTATACAAAGAATAAACTGCAAGCCTCCAATCCCTTTTTAAAATCTGTTTTAGTAAATGAACGCTTCAAATAGTAAATTAATCATGGCAATGCAGACATTTACTAACTGAAATAATTAATCATAAATATAAATAGGTCACTGAAACACTAACTTTTTGCACCCTTCCTTTATGACCATAATAATTAAAATATTTATGGTGTATCTTGGCCATTTGGTTATTTGCAAGACAATAAAAGTTAAGTTAAAAGTTGTAAACAAAAATAATAAACACATTTCTTACCCAAGTTTGGATCATGGAAGATGTTTCTGTGCTGTTGACCGTGTCTCTGCTGAGCTCTGAATGGTCCTCAGCCGAAGATCAACACACGCGTGCCACACTTTCACACCCTTTTGAGAACTACAAAACCCAATTTTCCTCATTATTAACGCACTGCACATGTTACCACGGTATGTATCTCTAGTCCTGCTAATGCCACTGCGATATCATACAAGTAACATCATTTTTAACCCATGAACTACACTTTTAAACCAACTTTTAGGCGCATCAAATCAAATCAACTAGCTGCCGTTCCGCAATAAACTCAATTTCCCATGAGCACTAGCGGCCTTGGGTAAAATCATGAGACTTGACACATCATGGGACTGTGCAGCTACACTTGTTAACAGCAGAGTTTTAGGGCATAGATTTTTCGGATATGGCGACAGAAACCATCGCCCCTGACTGGGAATTTGACCGTTTTGACGACGGTTCACAAAGTAAGTATTCAGGAGGTTTTTTAATTTTTGGAGGCTCTGGAAAAGACGAGAGTTGCATCATTAGCCACCTCAAGCTAGCGTCTATGCTAACGACATCTCATACTACTTTTTTTTTTCTTTTTAATTGCTAAATGTATAGTTTTTTTTTGACGTGCATGGGTAACACTGCACATGGCATTGTCCTCAAATTATTGGTTTACGTCAGCTCAAAAGGTCCAAGTTTAAGGAAGTGCAAACAAACATGTCTTCTCTGACTGTGTGCGGTCACTCTCCTGCACAAACCAAAACACCACATCAAAATTGGGGCCACTAGACCAGGACTAGACCAAGACCGAAGCTTAAAGGATCTTGTGAACCTCAAGGCATGCTATAATATTGTTACCTCATCAAAAACACGCCTGGAGTTGTGTTTTGTTTCATTCACATACTGTATGTTTGAGTAGCCCTAAATTATTAGACTGTCTGCATCTCTAAAGCTCAAAATGTTCTGTTCTACCTTTAATGTCATATAATTAGGTGAGGTTAGTTTATACTGTATACAAGACCTGGGCATTGTCCAGCTCCGGGACCACATACTGCTCTTTGGTTGACTCTGGCCAGCCCGTGTAAGCTCATTTGGAATTACAAAATAAACATATTTTATAATTTTACCTCATGCATGGACTTAAGCTGCATTGCTTTTATTTTTTAATGACAATTTTTGTAAGGCAACCTCACTTTTTCATTGCTTAGTTATAACATATACTCTTACCAGTCTCACCAGCTTGTAAAAACAGTGCTGTTTACAGCTTTTTATAAAGAAATACATTTAATATCATGCAGAATTGAGTTAAGCATTTTGGCTCGGGCCCTCCACAGTTATTTTTGTTTCTCATGTGGCCCCATGGAAAAAATAATTGCCCACCCCTGCTGTATACTGTGGTCAAAAGCAAGAAAAATGATCTGATGAAGGCTTTTTTGCCTAAAAGTTATTTAAAAATAATATTTAAAAAAAAGCTTTTGGACATCAGCCATCTGAGTGTGCTATGCATTTTTTCACTTTTATTTTACTGTTACTTGCATTTGCACCTCTACAAGAATCTTGGTGTGCGTTTTCTGTTTCATTTGGTTAGTTTATTTGCCATTTGTAGTTAAAAATATATTGGAAATATATGTGCAAAAAGCTAGGCAACAGCTGCCTTTATTTTCTGTTCTGTAGAGATAGAAAATTCCAGGGCTTAAATGATCCAAATGATTCTAGTGAAGGTGGATAGAGTTTAAAAACACAGTGCAGCACTTCCTGTATTACAACATTACATCACAAGGTGGAACAGGGTGTTTTCTGTTTGAAAGAAGAACTCAATATGCAGGGTTTGTGTGTTAAACATGTGTGAATGAAACAAAACACAACACCAGGTACATTTTTGATGAGGAAAACATTATAACATAGATCAGAAAACAGTGTAATATGGGCCCTTTAAGACCTTAATTTACTGAGCTAAAAGCAGAAGCAGTGAGAATGCACCGTGAATGATTTGACCATGACATAGTCTTTTGTTATCATGCAAAAACCTACATTAAACATGGTCCTCTCTTGCCATAAGAAGGCTCTGAGCACATTGGTAATCATTTGTAAATATGTGTACAAATGCTTTCAGAAATCCACACAGAAGTTCAACTGAAGAACTACACCAGGTTTCTTGAAGAGTACACATCTCAGCTGAAGGGCATTGAGGAGGCACTGGATGACTCCATTGGAGATGTGTGGGACTTTACACTGGACCCTATTGCCTTAAAGGTAAATAAATTAATAAATGGCAAAATCTGTCAAGTACAACTCTAGTTTCACGAATGCTTTTATGTGTTACAGCTTCTCCCATATGAGCAGTCCTCTCTCCTGGAGCTAATCAAAACAGACAACAAGGTATAATGCACTGTGTTTATGAAATATATTGGCCCATGTAATAGTGATATGATGTGAGCCTCTTTTGAACAGTTCTTTAATGTGAACTGTTGGATCCAGATCTCATGTTGTTTAGAACCAAATCTTCTTTTTTTCCCCTAAATTTTATGCCCTTTTATCTCGATTAACACTGAATCAACACAAGAATCAGCACAGAAGCAGAGGAGGCAACACAAGTGTGAGCTTTGTGCACTAAAAACATATCTGGCATCATAAAACCAGCTTTTGAATAATTGTAATGCAACCTTTTATTTAGAATTTGATTATTTTAAAGGTAAAACACTCCCACTATCAGATTGAAACATTTTGAACAAATCATGGGCTTGGTTATTTTTTTTTTCTCTGTGATTATTTTGTAGATAACGATTAGTTCTCACATTGACTTCTGTCATATAAATAAAAGAGCCAGTCTTCTGAACAGCTCATTGACACAAGCCCTTCCAAAAAATTCAGATCCCATAAAGACGCTGAAAGTCCCATCACTACAATGTAATATCTGCTGTACGTGTCTTTTTATTTTGCAGGTTTTGAATAAAGTTATCACCGTCTACGCAGCACTTTGTAGTGAAATAAAAAAGCTGAAGTATGAGGTAAGTTTTTCACTGTTTTTGCCAGACTTACATTTGTGTTGCAGTTTTATTATGTAATAAATTATGTATATTTTGGGCAGGCAGAGACTAAGTTTTACAATGGGTTACTGTTTTATGGAGAGGGAGGTAAGCTGCACATCATATTATGAGATGAATGTAGTTGGATCTTTAATTTTTTTTTTTTGTTAAAGTAATGTTTTGTTTTTGTTTCAGTTTCAGACGCTTGTGTTGTTGAAGGAGAGTCCCAGATTCAAATGGGACGATTTATCTCTTTCCTTCAGGTAAGACAAAATAGTAATTTATTATTATGGAAAATATATTACTGTCATTTCATTTCATTTTTAGGAACTATCCTGTTTCGTATCAAGATGTTACGAAGTTGTGGTTAATGTGGTTCATCAGCTGGCTGCACTTTACAACAGCAATAAGTAAATTCCTCTGTGTTAATTAAAAATCTTTTGTGAGTATTTGTGTATCACTAAACATACAATTGCTGCTTCTTCTCTTTTTGTAGAGGTGCAACAAAAATCATAGAGTCATCAGGTGTCCATTTTCAAGTATGTCTTTTGGTAAAACTCCCAATAAGTAAATAAAAATTCCCAGTCGATTTATAATGTTGTGTTTTTTGTTTTTTCAGATTTTGTATGAGCACCTTGGCGAGCTCTTGGTGGTACTCCTCACACTTGATGAAATTATGGAAAATCATGGTACACTAAAAGAGCATTGGAAGATGTATAAGCGGTGAGAAAGCCATATTAATTTGTATTTTGAGTGTCATCACATTGGGGGTGTTGTATATTAATCTTTATGGTGAAATGTTCAGCTGTTACTGTGAAGAGACTGCACACATAGGCAAACACTGTCAAAAAGTTTAAAAGTACAAAATCAGTCACTTCTTTATGGTCAGATTGTGTACAAATGAAGCTTACAGTAAAGTCTAATACAGGCAGAGTAGTGCCTTCAGTTAGCATCACACCCCCAGGAAATGTTGATGACATTCACTGCAAAGTATCATCTGCAGGGATATGACTGGTCACATGTAATAAATCATAAATTATGTATTGTAGGTTATTGAAGTCTGTGCACCACAACCCCGGGAAATTCTCCATCCCTGAAGACAAACTGAAGCCTTTTGAGAAGCTGCTGCTGAAACTGGAGGGGCAACTTTTAGATGGCATGATCCTTCAGGTAACTTCTCTTTTACACTTTAAAGGTGCACTGTGTAATTTTTCTGGTGGAGGGTCTGTCACCTGCTTGTCTTCATGGAGATTTTACATGGAATATTCTACAGTATGGCTTTATGTATCTCAGTGAAAACAAGCCGGTGACACTAACAGGCCAAGTGAAGTAGATTAATTAACCTATATACTTCAGGCTATTTTAGTGTAATTACAGACTATTTTGTTTGTGAAAACATGCAGAAGATAAAGATGTTGTGCATTTGTGGACAAGGAAGATGTCTGTTCTTTTCTCTCAACTGAATGGAACAATTGATTTTCCAGCTTGTTCCGCTGTTGTGATGCTTCAGATTCAATTATTCATCATGACTTTCCATGTTTTGTAATCTTTTTCTTTCAGTGAGAGCCAATCGAGACTGATAAGACTAATATATTATTAGATTGATAGGTGTTATAACTCAGTTCAATCAATCTAATAATACCATACTGTGAAATATTCCAGGCAAATCAATAACAGAATAATATAATATGGCCTCCTAACTGAAACATGACTTTGTGCACTGTTAAATTTCGTGTAATAACCATTATATTGTAACATTTTCTGTAGATGGAGCCTGTATAATTTTTTTCTCTCTGTGACAGGCTTGTGTGGAGCAAAGATTCGATGATCCTGGAGAAGGTGTTTCTGTAGCCAAAAATGGTGCCTTTGCTGAAGAGTTTGCCCTTAACATCCGCAATATTTTCACCAGCATCGAGTCTAAGATTGGTCAGTTAATTTTCACTGATAACATTTGGTACTCTATAACAATTATTTATCTATGTGGTACTATACTTTTGTTTTCAGGAGAACCCTCTGAGATCGACCAGAGAGATAAATACGCTGGGGTTTGCAGTTTATTTGTTCTTCATTTCCACATCTTCAGAAGTGTTGACAAAAAGCTCTACAAATCCCTGCTCGATATTTGTAAAAAGGTAATAAAATCTTGTAGTATTCATATTTTTATACATATTTCGTTTGGCCCATCTTTTCATTATTTTGCTTTTGCTCTTAGGTACCGGCT